AGAATGTGCAGGGGGCCCCCTCCACAGCTCTCCCTCCTGGGTCTGTCCACACTTGGAGCGTGGCAGGGACCCCGCTGAAGGACTCTGCATACCGTCGGCACTCTCTTCCACAGTGGGAATGTGTGCAGTGGAGAAAAGTAGAGAAGAAACACTTTCCCTTCTGTTACCTGGACCTTCCAGGGACTGGGCTGGGAGGCTTCCATTGGCTAGGGGACTCCTCCACGCCTGACTTTGGAATGCTTGGGGCAGAAGCTGAGGGCAAGACCTCTCCCAGGCCTCAGGCTGAGGTTCTGCCTGTAGGTAGATGGAAGGACTCTAATCCAGTACTTCCAGGAGGTGGGTGGAAGGGAATTTCACTAAAATTGGAACCCTGTATCGGTCTTGGTCTCCCCGTCATACCCCATGCCAGGGAATGGTTCCCTTACTTCCTTTTCCAGCCACCCCCAGCTCTCAGAACCTTTCATCTGGGGGAACTCCAAGCACCCCATAAACAAGTTTCATTATCTCTGGCTGGTGGAAGAGGGATAGGATTTGGATGCGGGTCCCTTGGGGAGAGGCAGGCTGGCCACTGTGGGATCCCTGGGGCTGGAGTTGGGGGAGCCTCCCCCAGCTGGACACCCTGGGTACTTAAGAGGGAAGGAGGAAAGAAGGCTATTGCTATAGAGCTTTGAGGGAGGCCAGGTGGGCAGAGCTATGGCTTTTAGTGGGTGGGAAGGTGGGCGGATAAAGGACTTCACCATCTCTGCAGAAGAAATCAAAACAAAATCACCCTGTTCACCCCAAAAGTGTGGTTGTGGAAGATGAAAGTCTGTGTGGGCTTCTTCAACAAGAGTCCTTTCCCCTTCTTCCCACAGTCCAACAAGAAAGGGGAGCCAGACCCCAACACAGCAGGTTCTGATAGGGAAGGTGGCAGCACAGAGCAGTCACACACCCGAGGGGAGACTGATGGCAGGGCCAGCACGGGGACTGGTGGGCCAGACAGAGCAAGGGTCCCCAGCTCCAACTGTAATACCTGATCCCAGAAGCAGGCCAGCCAGCCAGTTATTGCTTGGTGGCCTTAAGTGGTCCTGTTTGGGGTCAGTGGGAGGGGGCTGCACGTCTGCCTAGCCTGGAAGTGTGCTGTTTTCTGCTTTTTACTGAACTGCTGCTCCCTCTAATGTAGCATGAAAGAGGACATTGACCAGGGATTTCCTCTCTGGAAGGCATGACAAGAAGAGTTTTAGCTCTAGAGACTGACTCTGTTCACCTTCCAGACTCCTGGTGACACAATGGAATGTGCAGCCTCTGCCAGTTAGGAGCTGCCAGGGACTAGATGTCCGAGTGAGGGAAAGGTGTCCTCCATGGGCACCCCCTGGAAGACCTCACAGGCACTTAGGACTTGATGAAGGCCCCACTCAGGAGGGGTGGCATGGGGTCTCGGGGGACTGTTTCTAGGTTAGGCTTGGGGTAGGGCCGATGAGCTAGATTGAAGCTATACTTTCTGCCTTTGGTAGTGAGGAGAGCTGGGGGAAAGGGGAGCTTGCATGTGTGTGTGTGGCTGTGGCGGGTGGTGGTTTGCTTTCCATTTCACTGCTCCCCAATGGAGACAGGGAGCCTCAGAAGCACAGGCCACTACCAGGTTTGGACGGGCTTAGAGGCATTCCTGGAGGGGGCCAGGCTGGGGACTCACCTGTCTCCTGCTTTTTTCACCATCCTTCAGCAAACCCAAACTTCTACCAACAGCCACCACTTCCAAGAAGATAGGCACTCCTTTCAGCCTCTGGGTGCAGCCAGCTGCTTAGGAAGCTGGGCAAGATTAGCACCAGTAACCAGAGGAGACAGACTCCCGCAGGAGCCTCCAGGAGGGGAAAGGCAGTCCCTGCCCTTCCACAGGCCTCCATCCCACCTCACTGCCCCAGGACAGCTCCTGTCCTCCCAATACCTGTGTGGCAGACCCGGGTTCTAGACCAGGTCAGGTCCTGCCACGAAACCATTCCATAACCCTAAGGGTCTAACGTGTGCTGCCTTCCAGAAATTCAACTTCCATCAAGCTGCATTTGCCCCACTAGGGACTCTGGGAGGGTGCGACCTCTAAAGTGTTCCGTGCTCACCTGCAAGGACTTTGATGGGGGTGAGGGTGGGAAACAGCATTTCCGGAGTAAAGCACCAGCCCGAGCGAGCCGGCCTCTCTGGGAGGAAGAAGGCTGGGCAGGACTGGAGGGAAGGCAGGGAAGCTGGAAGCCTAGGGGTGCCAGGTGCACTCTGCATTCCTTCCTGTAGGCCAGCCTCTCCTCCCTCCTAAAGGATTGTCAGCTTTCCGGGTCAGAGCTCCCCGCTGCCACCCCCTACCCAGTGGCCAGGTGGGGACCAGATCTGGACCGGTTCTGCGAGTCCTTCACAAAAAAGGTGCAACCGCTCAGCCTTCTCAGAGGAGCAGGTGCCTCATGGGAGGGGAGAGCTCGAAGCTTCGGAAACGTTGGGAAATACAAAAGGCGGGGGCAGCTGGAGGGGCC